GCAGGGCATGAGCAGTTCGTGTATGGTGATAGGTCATCAGCAGTTCGTGTATGGTGACAGGTCATCAGCAGTTCGTGTATGGTGACAGGTCATCAGCAGTTCGTGTATGGTGACATGAGGCCTTCAACTCTCTTCCTTTTTTTCACCTCCATCGTCATCTTGCACACTACCATCTGATGTTGGTTGGCTACACTCTAGGCTGCCACCACCTTACAGTCTCTAATCTTCCTCAGATAACCTCTTCTACCTTCACACAAATCAACCTGTCTGACTCTCGTTTCACCTCCACCACATTTCTTGCATATTCGTCCTTTAGGATCACCCCTACTCCAGTTCTCTTCTGTCAGGAAACTTCCTCCGTTAGATAGGACTGTAAAAAAATGCTGTTAGTTCATACCCCAGTTTCCCAACACACAAAGAATTCAAATAAAGATCTGATCAAATAAAGAATCAAATACAAAATCTCAAGTTTTAAAAGATTTACTTGCAAGCAAGGAGTGCAGAACAATGATTACATTCAGAACTGCACTGAGGAACTCCCCAGTGCTCAAAGCTTAAATACAGTTTTTTTTTTTAGATACACATCAGTGGTCAGCACCTTAACCCTTTACAGCCATGTGGTCTTCACATCACGCTGATTGGCAAAAGCTGCTTCAAACAAAGATTCTCCACCAATAGAAAACATGTACATGAGCTGAGCTATTCTGCTCAGTAACTCAGGTTAGATCAAAGAAATACACTTTGGATTCTTTTCCTTTTTTTTTTGATGTTCTGTTTTCCTCATTATTTGGGCAGAGAAACTGGTTCAGGCCGGTTCTGTGACCTGTCTCTATCTCCAAGCGTAACAGTCAGTGCCATCAGTATCATACACCATCCTGTTATGTAAACCATCAGCATGCACACCTTTCTTCAGTACGTCTCCTTTTAGTACAGCATTGAAAAACAAAACAGTATAAATTGATATGGAAATTTAATATAATAAATATATCATTAATATTTGAATAAATGTATTTACAATATCTTAACATCTTCCCATCCAAACCATGATAAAATAGTTTGTAGCCTCCTCCAATGTTTCTAGCCTGGCTGCCCTTCCACCTGGTCTCCTGCACGCACAAGAGTTTCAAACTTCAGACCAACACTTCTATCCTTCCTCTTCTCTCTTTTTCTCTGAACCAATCGCCCTCCTCTTCTTCTTTGTCTTCGACCAACAGTAGTCCAATTTTCACCAGTACCCTGAAGGTCTACAGCACTGTTGGCATTCGTTGTTGACCCGGGCCCGACCGATCCAGTGTGGACATCGTTTTTGTGATACGCATACTTGATTTGGCCAAAGGTTTTACACCGGATGCCCTTCCTGACCCAACCCTCACCCTTTATCCGGGCTTGGGACCAGCACTACTACCACTGGCTTGTGCACCCAAGTGGCTGGTTTGAAATTAACTTCCAACACTTTGCTTAAAAAGCTCTAGATTAATTACATAAAAAAGAAAGCTTAATAATACATGTTTTGGCACAAATTAGTTGAGAACAAAACAATGTTTTTTAATCATTATTTTATACCTTACTGAAGTGTAGCTATTGCCCTGGAGCTGGTCAGAAAGAGTTCTACCTACTAGATCTCATTTCACTATCTGCGAAGTAAACACCAAAACCATCCATTCAAAATGATTAGCTCCCTTTTGTGGTCTGTCACAGCAATTTTCTTGCCTTGAATATTATTGATATCAAGACTACAGTATTCACAATGTGTTCACCGTTATTGTCCTCCCCACCGGCTAACTATATTCACTACTCTATTGAATGACAGTACAGTACAGTAGTCAGAACACAGACAAAGGTACAACAGCCATCATTGTAAACACGACATGCACTACCACATCCATACAGTTATCTGATGTAATGTACAATATCTGCTCCCTATACACTAATTTAATTCAGTTTAAATATTTAAAATGTTTTAAAGTTATGTTTGATAACAAAATATCACGACAACCTCTGTATCTGGATTGAAACATATCAGGGGTCAGTGGCAGTGGTATAAGTCTGTGTCGGTGTCATTAAACAGATCCTTCATTACAACACTAAAAACATAAATGTACAAGTCAAAAAGTTAAAAGAATGAACGTGTGACCAGAATGTTGAAGTTGTGTGGATGATGTCAGTATGTGTCTATTAAAAAGAAAAACATTGGAAATACAGTTAAATGTACATGTTACACTGTATTTAAGTTCTGTGCTGCCTTAGCTATGCAATATAGGGTTTGGAAATTTGACGATTGCCTTTGCCTTAAGATTTTATTCGCAGTTAATTTAAAATGTTTATGTTTTTACCACAATGACATACTGGCTAATGTTACTTTATTGCCGTTAAAAACTGTTGGAAAGAAAATGTGTTACACACAACAATGGTAGTTTTATTTTTGAACACAAAACATGACTTTGGCAAATGGATTTTAAAGTCGTAGTGTAATATGTGTGGTGACATCTAGTGGTTATAGGCAAGACAAGGAAGACAAAGAAAATAGAAAGTTGGCACATTAAGCACTTACTTCCTTCTTTTAGAGAACCACATTGTTGTAGATTATAACCTGTGTTGCCAATGACAAATATTAATGGTGCTAATGACAAATGATGAATGATTTTGACTTGAGTGACTGCATGTGGTAAACTGGTGTTGTGGTAAGGTTTT